TATTTTAAGAAATAACAATATAAATATAAATTATAATAATGATAATTAATATATTATTTGAAAAAATAAAATGAATAATATTTATTAAAGAAATGTAGAAAATGAAACAAATTTAATTTTCACATCATAAATTTTTTCTACTCGACACTAGTTTAAATTAAGATTGTACTGCCATCTCCAGAGAATAATTTTAATCGAATATTGTTTGATAAAAATAAATTTTTTCATACAAAAAGAAATGTGAAAAACTAATTCAATAATTAATACGTAGATTATTACTTAATTAAGAATCTTCTTATTATTAAATATCATTATTTAATATTTTAATACTATATATTTTCAATATGCTCTTTAAGATTCAAATTTTAACAATTGAAAAATATACAGAAATCAATATTTAGAAATCATACAATTCTTTCTAAAAATATAATTATAATAATAAAAATATAATAATATAATAATAAAAAATTATGTTTCATATATATATAATAATATTTTTAATAATATTTTTTTAAAATATTAATATTTGATTTAATAATATAATTATTTTAAAATTAAATATAAATTATATTGATTTGTATTTAGATTATATTCAAATTAAATTTATGTTCCAATTTTGACAAATATATTATCAATAATTAATTTATAAATTTTCATAATTGTTAAAGAATCTTTCAGAAAAAGTTTTTTTCTTTCTCTTCTTTCAAATATTACGATTGGTGCGTAACTTGATGACGTAAGTTAACGATAGTTTTACCCGTGGACCATATTGAGTTCTCTTTTATCTCTTAAGATCCTTAGTGAAACGAAAATCTTCGAATATCATGTTAGTTACATTGCCTGTTTAAGATCAAGTTTATGCGTTATCTCTATCATCATTTTCGATGATAAGAATTATTTTTTCTCAACGGAATAGCAACGATTTTCTATTTTCAATCGGTGAGTATGTCTTCTGCTAAATTTCCGGTTGACTGTCATTCTAAAATTTTATTAAACTTTATGAAAAATAACTTGTCAATAACAATTTGTCTATTTTCACTTATATTTTTTTTACATTTTTTAATTGTTTACTTGACATGAAGATTGATCAGATTGTCATATATTCAATAATTTTTTAAGATTCGTGATTGGAAGGCTTTTTTTAATTGAAAATTTTATTTCTAAATATGTGAATCATTGAAAAGAATATTAAATAAAACAAGAGATATTAGGAGAATATTTTATAAATTAAAATCTAACCTTTTTATCATATAGTTTCAGGTGATGTGGTTGTTGCCTAACCTAAGTACTTTATTAGATATTGAATGCTCTCTTATGTTATATATCCTATGTATAATTTATTATTATTATTTGTATTTATTTTTATTTTTTATTGTTTTCTTATTTATTTATCTATATTTATGTACTTAAATGATAAATTATTGATTCTTGTATTTATATTTAAAGATTTTTTAAAATATATTTATTAATATATTATTAATATAATTCTTAAATTAAGCTAAATTCATGATACTATATGATAGCATTAAATAATATTGTAATTTTCATTGAAATAAAATTATCCAAATTGATATCTACAAATTTTATCGAAATATTATTGTGTGTGTGTGTATATATATATGTATATATATATGTAAATACATACAATGTATACATATATATTTATATAAGCATTTTTATTTATATTTTTCTAATTTAAAAAATTTTTTTTTAATTTTTAATAGATATAATATTACAAAATTAAATTACAAAATTTATTACAAAATTTTAATAGATATAAGATATAATATTACAAAATTTTTGAATATTTGTGAATAAAATAAAATTATTCATATAAATCTGTTATATAATATTTTCACTATTTGTATATTATATTATAAATTAATATATATTATAAATATAGTTAAGTTAAAGATTTAAATTAATAATAATGTAATGCAGTAATAATGCACATGACTTAAACAATTTAAAATTTTTATATATTTTTACAATATTAAATTCTAAATATTTGTGTAAACAAATAATAAAGATTCATATGAAAAATTCTTGCAGAGATATTAATTTTTTAATTTA